TGAATATATATCCGGTTATATGATTCGAAAGCTAACTCTTGAGGAATACCAATGTCATGAAAACACATTCACTTGGGTCGACGAAGTTTCAAAGGGTTCTTTAAAAAAACCATCCACCAATTTATTGGAAAAAGTGAAGAAGTTGGAAAAGGTATTCTACCGAATCAATGGTACCGAAATATCCGACTTGGTAAATCTTCGCCAGCATTTGGTGGCCAAAGCTTGTCGATAGACCTGCCGGATCATGTAAAACAATTCTATTTCAAATGTAGAATTTTTTTTCGCATACGATTTTTAAATAATCGCCTCAAATTTGAGAAGAAAACAAAAGCAATAGCCTCCAAAAAAATGAAAAAAAATTGTTTTATAAATGTAAGTATTATTCATTAATTTCCTATCCCTATAAAATCCCTACTAAAATACAATTATAATAACTAGAAACGAGTTATTTGCATTATAAAATCATACCTTTAGTTATTGCCAAGTTGTAATAATGGGCATGCATCTTAGGCCCATTATTGTTAAAAAACAAAATTTTTTTGTTTATTAATTTGATGTTATATTTTTTTTTATTTCATTATAGTATCTTCATCCCATGTGTTCCCCTCAACACCCAGCGACAACTGTATCTTCCTCAGGAAAGAACTATCGGCCACAGTCGAACTGTTACGACAACAACAAATGCCCTCAAGTTTGTCCAAAAGTTTTACGAAAACTTCATCACAATATGCTCGTCAAAAAACCATTTCCATTTAATGATATTTAAAATAAATAATAAATTAACAATATTATATAATTTTCAACAGAATTTAATGTTGCCTTTATTTTAAAAAAATATTAATTTAATAAAATATAAAGAACATTTTTAATTTCCTACACATAAAAAATTCAAATTTAAAATTTCAAATTTTTTCTCGAAATAGTCTTATGGCATTTTAAGTAATTTTCGGATAAGAGGTTTATATAGGGACTAAGTCAAATGAGGCCCGATTATTCAAAAAAATCAGCGGTATCACTAACCCAACAAAAAATAATTGATGCAATACTTTACAAACGACATCTTAATCACATCTAAAAATAAAGAGAACAGTCTAGTCCATAGTCTAGTCTATAGTCTAGTCTATAGTCTAGTCTATAGTCTAGTCTAGTCTAGTCTAGTCTAGTCTATAGTCTAGTCTATAGTCTAGTCTATAGTCTAGTCTATAGTCTAGTCTATAGTCTAGTCTATAGTCTAGTCTATAGTCTAGTCTATAGTCTAGTCTATAGTCTAGTCTATAGTCTAGTCTATAGTCTAGTCTATAGTCTAGTCTATAGTCTAGTCTATAGTCTAGTCTATAGTCTAGTCTATAGTCTAGTCTATAGTCTAGTCTATAGTCTAGTCTATAGTCTAGTCTATAGTCTAGTCTATAGTCTAGTCTATAGTCTAGTCTATAGTCTAGTCTATAGTCTAGTCTATAGTCTAGTCTATAGTCTAGTCTATAGTCTAGTCTATAGTCTAGTCTATAGTCTAGTCTATAGTCTAGTCTATAGTCTAGTCTATAATCTAGTCTATAGTCTATACTCTAGTCTATAGTATAGTCTAGTCTATAGTCTAGTGTCTAGTCTAGTCTATAATCTAGTCTATAGTCTAGTATATGGTCTAGTCTATAGTCTAGTCTATAGTATAGTCTATAGTATAGTCTAGTCTATAGTATAGTCTAGTCTATAGTATAGTCTATAGTTTAGTCTAAATCTGGTCTATAGTATAGTCTTTAATCTAGTCTATAGTCTAGTCTATAAACTAGTCTATAGTCTAGTCTAGTCTATAAACTAGTCTATAGTCTAGTCTATGGTCTAGTCTATAGTCTAGTCTATAGTATAGTCTATAGTATAGTCTAGTCTATAGTTTCTAGGCTTCAGTCTTATTTTGTTACAATAATCCTTACCCGGTTTAACATTAATTGCCTGATATATATCAGCACCGGTTTTATTGGAATCTGTATTTGCTTCTTCCGAATATGTTACATATTGTTGTTTGCCTAAAAGGGAGCGTGTGAGAGAAGAAAAAGTGAACATTTTATTCCTAAAATTTACTACTTGATCTTAAATGGATAAAAATATTTACCATAACTATGGCCCACAAATTGTACACCACAAACATGGCTATTTTTATGAGAATCCAAATTTTCATAATGCATTTGATGCAAAATGAAACGATTTCAATTCTAAGAAATAAAAAACACAAAACATAAAAAACGTAAAACAATTAGTTTTCTAAACCCACCTGTATTAAACTAATTAAATTAATATTTAATGATCTATCGGATAAAATGAGGCCCAAGGCAGAGGCCTCGGGTACAGTACGAAAAGATCTTAAGAAATTGCTGGCCTGGCAAGGTGTAGAAGCTAAAAGCAAAGTCCACTAAAATGTTTGTTTTACAGCAATTTATTAATAACAAAACTTACCACTACTTTTATCCAACATATGAAAAGAAAACCCAATTCACAAGATAAACAAAACTCCTTGGCATAACTGTGATTTAATAATTTCTGGCGCAAAGGTTATATGAAATATAAAATCTGCAACATGGCATTGCAATAGGAATTGGGCAAGGTAGCCTCTAGGCTAGCAAAACAAGTTTGATTGTGTTGTTCGAAATTAAAGTCATGAGTACCCAATTTGGTGTATTTCAATTCCACCTTGCGATAACGTCTTGGTATAATTTTCACCCCGGAGTCAGAGGATTTGACCGCATTATTAAGACCATTACCACTGCCTGAACTTAAGCCGGCACCATTTTCCAAAATGTAGGGTATTTGATTATGTCTCAAAGTGCGCGTATTGGGAGAATAACCAATGGGTCCTTGCATTTTCATGTTATTCAAAACATCCTGTTCAATGGGCTTGGGGCGATATTGATAGCGCAATAATTCTGTGGGCCAGTCGGAAAACCAACGTGATCCGGTTACCAAACGTGGCAATACTATAGACGATAAAGGGAATGTGGTGTCGGTTATGGGTACTATAGGCAACTGGGGTACTGAATCGGCAAATTCGGTGTCACGTGAAAAATTATTGAATTGCGGTTGGGCGTGAAGCTTGTGAGGGCAAAAACTTTAAGAGTTGTGGATCGAGGAGTACTTGTATGGGTGATACTAGACGCAACATACGTAAATCATAGACCATTAGAAAACGATCAACGTACCTTGACGACAACTATAACCACAGGATATTAGATAATTGCCTTGAACATCAAAGTCCGATAAACTGTCGGTATGGGTATTGATGGTGTGTTCTATATGAAGAGAATTTAGACCGCGCAAGGTAATGGTGCTATAAGGATCGCCAGCAAAAAGAAAACGGGAATTCTGTCTTAACAGAGCTTAAGGCTTCTTTTGTACTGTGATCGTTTTCCTTTCTTTTTGGTGGCTTTTTAGCAATAGGTGAGGAAGATTTCTCTGGTAGTATACGAGTAGACTTACGACAAATAGTGCAGGAAACTTTTTATCACGATTAAAATAAACTAATAACAAAATTATGCTATTTTTATATCAGCTGATTTTGACAATACGCTGATTCTAGAACAAAAACAAAATATATGTTGTTTTTGTATTGTTGTATTTGCTGTAGTGATGCAGTCACCTTTCTAAGTGTGCCCTGCCTCTGAGTAACACATTTGTCGCCCATAAATTCTAAGCTATAGCCATTGCGTGTAATTCGGCTTACAGACTGGAGATTCACTGTTATATCTGGTACATAAAGCACATCATAAATTGTTATGTCAATGACTTTACCGTGCGCCTGAAGATGGATGTTAATGTTTCCCATACCTTCAACTTTTCTCTGTTGGCTACATATATTTCTTTTATCTGTGAAGGCTTTATATCTACAAACCAGTCTTTTCGCATAGTCATGTGTACCCTTGCACCTGAGTCTATTAACCAAAGAATAAACAAGAAGTGAAACGCTGTCATTTTTTTACAACAATAACATTACGCTCTTCTCACAGACGAGTGCTGTGTAAATCCAACACATATGTAAAAATGTTATTCTCTCTCCAAACTTCAAAACTTTTTCGCGAAAATTTGAGGATAATAGCACTTTGAAATATTTTTTTATCACTTAACATTATATTTTATAAATTTTTTGCACAATTTAAACACATTTAACAGCCCGAAAATTATATATTTTTTACAAACGAAAAAAAAATATTTTTTATTTTTTGACATTGAATTTTTGTTGGTTGAAATTAAAACTAAAAAAAACAATGTTGTAAATTTTCGTATGGTAAACGAAAAAGATATTTCAAATAAATAATTTATTTTTTCAATATTATAGATTAAAAAACAAATAGACGTGTTTATAAAATGTTTGTAGATAAAATATGTGGAAAATATCTTAAGAAACCCTTCAAAGTATAAATTGAAATGTAATATTTTTTTTTTCAATATTTTTCAATACGATTTTTTGCAACTATGTTGACTTGAGAATTCTACTAATACATTCTTAGAGTTAGGTACCGGATGACAGTAGACTTAGGTACTTTTGACAACAGTTTCATTTCTTATTTATTCTTTGCTATTAACCGACCATTGACATTAATTACACCTGCCACATACACCGTACAAAAACCATGTTCCCTTTTTTCTGACTTCTTATCACGACAATCTGTAGTTTGTCGTGATTTTTTACCCCGTGTCTATATTAGAAAAGTATTTATCACGGCACTTGACAAAACGTCGGCAGAAAAATTGTCAGTTTTTTGTTTATGTTAATGAATAGGGGTAACAAAATGCTTATTTTATCAGGACAACCCACAGATAATTTTATTGAAATAATGCTATATTATATAAAAACAATTAAAATTAAATGCAAATTTTGTAAAGGACGTTTGTTATCAAGACAACGTTGTCTAAACAATAAATGCCGTCTGTACCTGCTAATTTTTTATCATGATAACAATTTGACGTTTAGCATAATAAATATTTGTCTAATATAGACATGGGGTTATTGTTGTTGTTCTTCTTTTTATTTTTTCCGGTGGTTATGAGTTGGCGAAGCAGCCCAACACGGCGCGTAAGACCCGAATCTTGAAATGCAGCTTTTAGACTATCCCATACTTCTTTTGACGTTACAGCATTCTCAATGTGGACGTAATTAATCTTATCAACCAGCAAAATTATCTTTCTTTTTGCTCTGGTGTCCACCCTCGCATTCATTCCGGTTGTAGGATAAATTCCTTTGACGGTATCCCAGAATTCTTCGTTCTGATGAAGGTTCTTCATGGCAAAAGCCCATGATGCATAATTCTCTCTGCAAAGAAATTTTTCCAAACTGAAATTTATAAGTTTAGCCATTTTAAAACATTAATATAACTCCGACACTTTTAAAACAGTTCAATTAATTTCATTGGGCACACTCTGGGCCCATTACCTGTTGTGATGGTGTAATAAAAATTCTATGAAATTATTGAATATATAAAGTGTATTTTAATGAATGTGTTTTATTCGAGGTACAAAAAGGAAGTAGAAAGAAGTAGAAAGGATAGATATCGGAAAAAACAGAGTTGTTATTAAAATGAAGTAAGATCGTGTGGCCAGATTTATATTTCAACACTGGAAGACAGTTTAAATGGATGACCATGATTGAGGTTATCCATATAAACCTCCATCGGAGCGAGGCGGCTACCAACGCTCTGACGGCTAAAATTAACACAGGTAAGATATATATAGCTTTAATCCAGGAACCTTTGACGATTCGCAACAAGGTTTCTTGATTAAATCGCTTAAATTTCCAACTTTTTTACGCTGTTCACCTCTTTTGTGAGACTACATTTTAGAATATGCGTCTGCTGTTTGGGATCCACATTACGAAATCCATACAAAAAGAATTGAAGCCGTCCAAAAACAATTTCTTTAATTAATTTTGTCTCCGCAACCTACCTTGGAATCTCAATACTAATCTTCCATCATATAAAAGTCGATGGCATAACAAATTCAGAACTCCTACTTCGAAAAATCGAATTCATAATTACAAATCGTCCAACAAGAAATTATGTTCCTGTTAAAATCTAATATTTCCGTACAAACTATGCCAACTTTGACTCGATGAGAAGAATGTGACTTTTTGACTAATCCAAGGGTCATATAAAGGAGTATCCTACGGCGATTAAACCAATAGCTAAATTTTGGGTTTTCAGTTATATTATTTAATTTGTAATAATAGAATATATGAAACTTAATTGAGATGTATAGAAAATGCTAGCCTGTAAGACATTGTAATTTTCATTGGCGAACAAAAACATCATTGGCGACCGAGAACATGTAGCTTAGTCACAAGAACTTAGTTTTCTACTCTCAACAGGATTATCCACATCGGGTGCAACGGTGCTGAAACAAGGTCGTGGCAACATATACATACCTTGCATGTGTTTATCTGCCTTTCGATTCTCCGACACTACCACCAATTAAAGAACAGTCAGGACACTTTTCAATGTCGAAATAGAGAGGACATAGAAGCCAAAATAGAAATGCTCACAATTGCCCTGGTTGAATCATTCGAGAACAGCTGCCCTCTGTGAGAGCGGAGATCTGCCTAAGAGAAACCCTGGGTAAATGGGGAGATCCGAAACCTTGGGAAAACTCTCGCAAACTATTTAACCGGGCACGGCGTAAAAAGGCCGGAGTATACTGGGATGAGTATCATAGTAAACTTGGTGAATATAAGAAAATTGCTTGAAAAGCCTAACGAGACTCCTGGAAACTTTTCTGTGAAAAGGTAAATGACGTATCGAATATAAAAAAAAATCGTATCCAAAATTCATGTCCATTCGGAATCCATGATAGATTACACGGGCAGGAGGCTGGAGGACTTACGACTTACTGATAATTTCCGAAAATTTTGACGAAAATTTAAGATATTTACAAGAAGTAGCAACACAACTTCGTAAGGCTAATTTAACGATTAATATTAATAAGAGTAATTTCGCAATTAAAAGTGTTCAATATTTAGGGAATATTGTTGGGGAAGGTTCCTTTAAAGTCGATCCTGGTAAAGTTAAGGCGATTTCAGAATTCCCAGTCCCGAAATCGGTTAGGCAATTACGCCAATTTCTAGGTATGGCGGGCTGGTATTGCCGATTTATCGACGATTATGCGGCAATTTCGTTTCCCTTAACTGAATTGTTGAGTAAACATAAGACATTTAAATGGACAGATAAGGCCCAAAGATCATTTGATATAGTGAAAGATAAGTTACCAACGGCACCTATTTTAGTGCATGTTGATTTTACAAAACCCTTTATACTTCAATGTGACGCTAGCACATATGGTGTAGAAGCTGTATTTGCTCAGATGGATGACGAGGGTGATGAGCGTCCGATAGCCTACAAGTCACAAAAGTTAAATAAGGCACAAAGAAATTATTCGATTACGGAATTGGAATGTCTTGCAGTGATACTAAATTTTAAGAAATTCAGATACTACATCGAAGGACATTAATTAAAAGTTATCACAGACCACGCTAGTCTTAAGTGGCTAATGAGGCAAAAAGATTTAGCAGGGAGTCTTGCAAGATGGGCACTAAAATTACAGGGTTTTGTATTTAAAATAGAGCACCGTAGGTGGGAAGATAATGTTGTTCCTGACGCATTATCACGTACATTTGAGTATGAATTGACCATATCAGAAATTGAATTAGAAGTTTTACCATCTATAGACTTGGATTCTGAGGCATTTGAAGGAATACTCAATGTTGAGAGAAGAATTTAGTCGAGAGGAATTTCCAGACTATAAAATTGTCGATAAATTTATTTATAAAAGAACAGACTTTTCTAATGGGGATATAGACCAAGCATTGGTTGAGAGTGAGAGACCATTTCTGAGGTTATACTTAGATCTTATAGGCCCTTTTCCACGAACAAAAAAATTTTAATATCGGTATATTAATTATTTTAGATCACTTTTCAAAATTTACTTTTTTAATTTCATTGAAAAAAGTTTATATATAAACCAATAGTGAATCATTTAAGGAATTTTTGTCGAAATTTGGTGTCAATCACCAGTGCACAGCTGTATATAGCCCTCGGGGTAATGCTAGTGAGAGGGTAAACAGATCAATTAATGAAGCTCTCTGATCATATATTAGAGATGATCGTTGTCGTGAATTTGAGATCGGTCAAGGGAGAACTTTTTGTCAAAGTTCTCTTGCGAAGAACTTCAACTCGAAACTAGCTCCAACTGGAGTGAAGGCAGTCGTTAAGAGGAGGATTGGTCAAGTAAATTACGAGTTGGAGGATATTGGTAGTGGCCACATCGGTATATATATAAAGATATTTGGTCTTAAATGGGAAAATAAGTTTTATTTTCTCCTATCGACTTTTCAGATAAAGTTTTACGATTGCTCTCAGGAAATATCTTTTATCGACTTTTTCAGACAAAGTTATACGATTGCTTTACAGCTTTATCTGCTTTGTGGTGTCGATATTAGAAGTTTTATTGACGAAATTATTTGAGTGTATATTTTTGGGTTTTTATTTATCCATTTTAAATTTTTAAATAATTTAAAGTAGGCTTTTTTATTATTGAAAAGGAAAATTATGAAAATTTTAAATTAATTTGTGTGTCGAAAATTTAAAAGAGAAGTTCGTTTCAACATTTGTTAATAAAACAATATTCATAACAGAAAATAACACCATTTAAAATTTGATTTCCTAAATAAATAATTGATTGATAATTTTGTAAAATATATAAAAGTGACCACATATAATTAATTAAATTCTATTTACCTTTTTCAATATTCAATTAAATCAAAAGTAAGATTAATAATGGAAACGTCTAAAAGAGATTTACGCAAACCTAGTAGATTTCACGCCAGTGGAAACATAGTATAATATTCATTAATTGAATATTGAAAATGGTAAATAGAATTAAATTAATTATATGTGATCTCTCTAATATATTTTACAAAATTATCAATCATTCAAATTATTTATTTAGGAAATCATATTTTAAATGGTGTTATTTTCAGTTATGAATGTTAAAAGCATTAATATCATAGGGTTCTATAAATCGACTTTCGAACAATCGACTTTTTGTCGAAAAAAGTCGAAGTCGACTATTTTGTTCCAAAAAAGTCGATAACTCGACTATCGTCTATGAAAAAGTCGAAAAGTCGACTTTGTAAATAAAAGTCGAAAAGTCGGAAAGTCGAAAAAAGTACGCACATAAAGAAGACAACCCGACGAAAAATAAAACAAACTGTAACAGCTGTTTTATCAAAATAAATATTTTTTTTTTTTTGTGTGGTAGTTATTTTTGTTTACAAATATGTGTTTCTGCACGTGGAAAAAACGCAAAAACTCGTTTTCATTATTTACATTTTCAATATGTGTTTATGCACGTGGAAAAGATTTAAAAAAATTATTTTCATGATTTACTTTAAAAAAATATTTTTGATCAATTAAAATATGTATATAAATGTGGAACGTTCAAAAAATGTTACTATGGTCATATATAGAAAATGATATATAACTGCTATCGGACGATCTTGTGCAAAATAAAAACATAAACATATATAGAACTTTAAGTTGGAAGTGTAGTAATCGGATGGCATAATATGTTTGCGATTTTAGGTAGGGTCAACTGTGTACCGAGCCATACAAAATTCAACAGATAAATTTTGTTTCATATAAAAGTTGTTATGTCGAATTTTATAGCTATACATTTTTAAGCCAGTTATGAGCGGTAGTAATTTCCCGAGGTGGACCTTATATCGGGAATAGGTTAAATTATGGACCGATCCCCTTAAATTTGACAAAACGATTTTGACTCATTTTTGTGAAGTTTCTTTGCTATATTGGTATTTTTATTACAATTATTGGAGTTAATATCTTTTTCTGAAGGGGAACTTATATGGGGGTAGGGTCTATTTTGGACCAACCCAGAAAGATTTTGGAATATTGAAGCTCAATAATAAACACCATCGACTAAAAATATTTTGGCAAATATTGGCTAAGATCCCAGTCTATACTTTTATGGATTTTAGACCAATATTTCGATGTGTTACAAACGGTGTAAAAAGTTCCTTGACTCCCTGATGAGTTTATCGTATACTGATATTGTCCATTTTCAATAACAAACTCCATCAACTAAAATTATTTTGGCAAATATTGGCTAGATGGTCTTAGACTGTAATAAGATCCCAGCATATACTTTTATGGATATTAGACCAATATTTCGATCAGAGATGGGGGTAGTGCACTAATTTTTAACTATCACTAATTATTAGTGGTAGTTCAAAATTATTCACTACTTTTATTTATGTTTAGTTATGAATTGAAAAATATAAGCCTCATTCAATAATAGTGATAGTGATATTTAAAATTTTTAATTAAAAATATTTTAAAAATAGTTAAAATATTTGTTTTTACAGCCTAGTGAAATAATTTTTTCTACACTAAATTATTAGTTCAAAAAATATTCCTGCACTGTTTT